GAGCTAGAGATTCATTTTAACACCATTAAAAAGCCTCAATTTACATTTGTAAACATCTGTCAGTATTTAATTTGGAAATAGCCTAAATCATTTCAAAAAGTGATTTGTCCAAAGCCAAAACAAATAAAATGGGGATATTGGACTACCCCATTCTCTAGTTTCTCTTTCATCCCTGTGTTTTATCACCAGTAATATTTGGAAGTCTTACCTGCCCCCCAAATTCTGATTATTGAGAATAGAATTTTGAGATGCCTTTCTGAAAGTTTAAGCTCTTGAATGATCCTCCAAATATGCATTGGCTAAAATTGGAACTGCAATATGAAAATAAAAGCCAACAGTAGTTCAAAGAAGTAATAAAAGAGACATGCTGTTTTAGTTAAAAGCAATAATTTAGTTTCATATTTTCTTACACCTCATTTCTTCCTTGAAGGTTTTATTGTGTTACATAAATTAGCTGAAACAGCATTCCCTTTTAATTAGGCGGGAGTCCAATGTTATTCTCTCTCTTTTCCTTAAAATGCATTGACTTGCAACATTATGCACGTTTCTACATTTCCTGAGTTTGGTCTATTAAGATAACTCGTGTCAACTGTACACAGAAATGAGTGTTAGTGTGAGTAGATCTCTTTACCTGCTAGAGTTTCTCTACTTATTCCTCCTTTAACTCTCCTGAAGCCATTGCCTACATTTTAAGCAGCTGAAAAAAATTCTGAAGAAAATTGAATAGCTTTCAAGTCTGTCTTTTCCCCAAGCAGAGAGATGATTTATGGCCACTTTTTTGTAATTGCCTTGGGCATCAATGGGGAAAAACATTAAAGAAATTTGAAAGCTGACTATTCTCAGGGAAGTGTAAGCTTTCCCTAAATATTCATGAATGGCAAGGTTCACATATTCAAACTGGGTAAATGAATATACAAATGGATAGGTTGTTGTTTTAGCAAGTACTTAACTATGACACTGATAACAGTAACTCTTCCATCTGCATTTTAGGTTATATATGTATATATAACTTTTTGTCATATACAGGAGAGTAGACTATTGCAGTTTAGAAAGATCATTTAAATTAAAGTTTTGAAATAAGTGAAGTATCTGGATTTCACACTTGGAATTTGCCCTTTTCCTTACAAAGCATGTTTGCTGTTCTGGTTGATGTTTCTTGTATGTGTCTTGACTGACAGGGATTAGTGTTCCACACAACCACGTATCATGAAAATGACATCTAGAAATATTGTTGTTCTTAGAAGGGACATAAAATTTGTTCATTCACTCTTCATATATCTTCTTAACCACAAAGGCACTTGAGCTGTGCTTTTTTATTATTATTATTGGAAAATAGCATATATATACTGCAAATGATGGGGCGGGGGGAGACTACCTGTCCTGTTAAAAAGAGAGTATCATTACAATTTATAAACCATCAAAAAGTCTTCCCTGGTATCCTTAACTATTAGATAAATTGGGCTAATGGCTCCTGACTACATTTCCCCCAAGTCCTGTATGTAGGTGTTCACATGCAGTACATGATAGATTAAGTTTTGACCCTTTATTTCTCACATTCTTTCCATGTTGCTTTGTTTACAGGTATAGAGACCTAGGTGGCTTTGTGTGTGTGTGTGTGTGTGTGTGTGTGTGTGTGTGTGTGTGTGTGTGTGTGTGTGTATGTTTTGGGGTTTTTTTGTGGACTTATTTTGAAATAAGAGTAGATGCTTGCCGTGCTCAGGCACAGACATATCTCTACTAGGGAACATCATCATGGTTCCTTGACCTGTGAGTGGTTAAACATAGTTAGAAATGCTCACTTAAATGGAATGCTACTGCTACCTGAGGCTAATGCTTTTGCTTGATAGCTATTCTGTCTCTTACAGTGGCTTGACTCTCTGAAAAAAGGTTATAAACATCAAGCAAAAGTCTACAAAGAACAGAATTGATTAATGTGACGTATTTGAGATTTTTAATACCACACTCTCAGCAGTAAGTCACAGAGAGGCAGCTCAAAGCACAGTGAATTAAATTTCAATCACACAGCTTTGGCTAGAGAATTGTTTGGTGAAATCCACCTCCTGAGTGAAATTTGAGGGTATTTTTTTTCCTCCTTCCATGAACTGCTTCCTAATTTTTCATACCATGTAGTTTTCAGTCAAGGCATCCATTAATTTAAAAATTCCATTCACAAAAGGATTGCTTGATTTCAGTTTTTAATAAATGTATACATAACAATCAAGAATATACATGTATTATAGCAGGAAAGTACATTGAGACCTAAAAATCTATTTTTATAAAAGAGGTATATTTGTCTGGTGGTTCATTTTACTTTAACAGAGCTACTATACAAGATACTATTATATGGCTTTTGTATTATACATATAGTGTTTTATAAAAAGTGATACTGAGACTATTACAACATTTTCTGCTTAAAAATATGAATAATCAGGGCAGTCATGAAAGTCAAGGCTCACAACCAAAAAAATAAATAAATAAAATAAGTGGAATTATCCCTAAAGAAAATAGCTTGAAGTAGATTGGTTTACATTACCTAAGCAACCAGTGTACATAGAACATTGTCTAATGACTTGTACATATGTAGCCATGAATTCATTTTAATAAGCTATCCTCATTTATACTTGATGTTTGCTCAAGTCACAATTTGAACTGAGACTGTAAAAGATGTAACCTTAAATATTACCTATATTACAAATATTAATATAATTGCTAAGCAAGTCTTCCAGCTGAAAATAATTTGTATGTATAACTTTCACTTCAATATCTGAAACTATACTATTTATAAATATAGTTCAAAGTGATTTAATTAAAACAGTTCCACCTTCATGAAATATTAAAATTAGTGCTGATAGTGTTGGAAATTTTTATTAACAATTACAATGAGATCATATTCCAAGTGCTTTCCATGTATTGACTTGTTCCTTTAAAACAATGTCTATTATACTCATCATTTTTTTTTTCAGATAAGGAAAATAAAGCATAGTCAATTATTACATTTTAATGGCAGGGTTCCCTAATTTTAGCACCTTTGATTATTCTTGCTGAATGAGTCATAAAGTGTATTTTAGACCATTTCACAGCACCCCAAGTCTCTAATGAATAGATACTCACAGTAATAGCCCTGCACCAATATCCCAGAAGTAACAACCTCATATATCTCCAGATACTACCAGATGTCCCTCCAGATGCAGGAGGAGATGAGGAATCAGTACTGGAGTGAGAACCCCTGGCTTAACAAATGTGTTCATTTCTTCCTCCCCTTATCAAAAATATTGTAACAGTGACAGTTATGGATTGAATGGATACATTTAAAATTCCTCAAGAAAACAGAAATTTCTCTTGTAACTGTGGTTATTAACTTAATTTAGGTTATATTGAAAGAGTTCCCATTCTGAGTGAAGATAATAACTTCCTGCTAATTATTGGCCCTAGGAAAATAGCCCACTATCTGCTCTGGGATGTATTGGGTTGATTGCCCTGAGGAACACCCAATTCAATATCATGATACCATAGCACTCATATGGGTGATATCCTGCAGGATGAATTTGTGCCAAAAGCTTAATGGGTCTTTGGTGAAACTCATGTTAATGAGAGGTAAAGAACTGTTCATAACCACCGGCTGATGCCTTTCTCTGTGAACAACTATGCTTCTAAGAAATCTGGTATTTGAAATTCCTTCTTGAAAATGCACACCGAGGGAATGCATTAATCCAGAAACTCTTTAAGAAGAAAGTAAGAGCAAAACACAATGAGCCCATGTCCCCATGCTGCTTAAAGACTTGTGTTGATTTCGAGGCATATTGCAAAGAGCCAACAAGGTAATAGATTCTGCTTTAAGCATTTGTCATTGAAGTCCCTCCCTCCTTGTCTTCAGTTTTCTTAAAATTAGTTTTACATTGTTATCACTGACAGTATTGTGGCTCTCTAATGACTTTAGCTCATGCTGTGTTATTCCAATTCCTGTTAAATGGCGCCATTGGTTTGATCTCAAGCATCTTCCGAACTGCCCAAATCTCCTGAACGTTCTGCAAATTCGATTTGCACCATGGATATGGTCTGTTTTACCTTAGCATCAGCCTGATCTGGAGTAACCCTTCACAAATTCCATGCAATAACTCCTCTGAGTTTATTACTGCACGTAAGCGGCACTAAAGAACAACCTTTGATGCTTGCCAGTGTGTTGATTATGTGACTAACTGCTAAGATTTACACACTCTGATTTTTATTACAGCGACAGTTATCTTTTTGGCTGTAAGTGCAGCGAAGCAACTATAATGTCACAGAGGAAATGGTCACCTTTCTCCAGCCCACGCTGCACACACTTTTTATGTACTATGAAACCTTGGCCATGGAAAGGACAATGAGGAAACAGCATCTACTATCTGAACATTGTAAAAATGATATTTGAGTATAAAATTTTGAAAACTGAAAAATATCTTAAATGCTTCATTTTGCATCTAAAAAAATACATATCTAATTTTCTATGTAATCTGTGTTTCCCAATGAGGACAAGCTACATTTTGAAGATTTATTGAACTACCTGTTCACAAATGTAAAAAAGTTATGGCTGTTCTGCTTCAGGAAGCCAAGCACAAGTACTGCATAAAGCCTACTGGTGCATACATTGTAGCTCCCCAGGGCTGTAATCAATCTCAAATTGCCTGTTTCTGCCAGGTTGTCTTAAACATCTGCCTGCTCCTGTATGCAGCATCTCATTGCAGATGAGTGGCTGGGCATCTATCAGTTATAGACTACCATTTCTATGTCTACATGTTAAATAAGTTGTAATCAAGATCTGTCATACATGGGGATATTTCCACGAGAGGTCTAAAATATGTTCGTGAATATAAGCTCTGTGTTCTGTGTCTCAGGGAAGGAAAATAATGAATCCGGTTTCTTAGCCTGTAATGTAAACACAAACTGTGTTTCACCTGTAACTGAGACAGAGAAGACCTCCTAGTACACTTTAAAGTAACCTTCTGACTGTTATTCTTTTGCAGACCACAGATGACATCCTTGTGGCCTCAGCAGAGTGTCCCAGCGATGACGAGGATATTGACCCCTGTGAGCCGAGCTCAGGTGGGTTAGGTTAGTCAATTTTTTTTCTTACTTCCTTGCCCTTACTATATATCTTTGTTGCATGTTCTATTCCTTAGAAGAGATGCCCACGTAGATGTCAAGCACTACCTTTGGCTACCTCATTGTAAAATGGTACATTATCTGATGGGATCTTAGTTCCACATGGAGGCATATGCTGGTAGTTTGGAAGGTGGAGGCAGGGGATTGTGGATTTTAAAGTCATCCTGGGTTAGTTACACAGTGAGGTGACATCCAGACTGGACACTCTGTCTCAAAAATATTAAAAACCAACCAAACAATGACAAACAAAATATTATCCAATGGGGCTTTGCCTTTTTGTTGTATAAATTTTCTCACTTTAAAAAATGTTAAAAATCCAAACCACCAATAATAGATACTTTTGAGAAAACAGTAGAGAGGGGAGTAGCACACGTGAGGTACTTACCCGTCACATTCCAGCAGCTCCCACAGTCATTTTTGTATACAGTTTAGAGTGGACTTTCCCTATGGTCATCTCTAGTACAACAGGAAAGCTCAACGTTTACAGTAGATTGTGAAAAACCATTTGATCTATGCACTGAAAAGCATTCCCATGATTCAGTCTGCTGGAAAACTCTCCTAAGTGATCTATTTCTGAATTTTGGAAGTTGGATCACTATAGCAATAGCAAGACAGCAGGCACCATAGTTGATGGGTTGAAAAGAGGAAGATTTGAGTCTTGCCATGTCTCCCCAAGTTCAAGCTGCATTTTACTTACAGACAATTGAAGCCTAATTTCACCTACTTTGTGACGTGTTTGCATCTCGTCTGCTGAGAATGATGTATTTTTGTTTCTAGACAGACCTTACACTACTAAGTGGAGACAGTGGACTCTAAAAAATGAGTGAATCACAGTCTGTGTTCCCCACCAAATATTCACAATACTAGATGCATGCCCGTTAGTGCTCTTTTGAATTCCTAGTGTGTGTTAACGAAATGACTGCAGGAGATACGATCTGCCCACTCCCCATTAGCTCATAACATTCATAGTTCTTACCTAGAAGCCCAGAAAAAATGTCTCAATAAAATAGTTAACTTGTATTCTTGTAAAGAAATATATACTGTTTGAAAGTTAGTCTACTTTTGCTCACTTTTAAATATGAAATATTTTGGGATGCATGGGCTGTATCTCTTTTTGAGCACCACTTAGACCGGTGCCACTGCCATCTGCAAGGACAAAGGAGTAGCTGCCAGTGAAGGGGAGTGGCCTCGGTCCATTCTCATCTGGAGTTGATGCTGGAGGTTGCCTGGGCTGCTTCAGCCCTCCTTCTCCTCAGTTTACCTCCCATAGGACTCTCGGCCCCAGAATAGTCTGTCATATACAACTTCCATCTCCAGCTACCATTTACTAGATTCTCCCTCCTTTATCTCTATCAGTTTCTCAGGTTTGGACTATCAGGCCATTACTGTGGGCCCCAAGGTCAAGGTCCTGCCATTATATTAGCCAATTTTCTCACAGCTCTATACTAATTAAAGAGTGTAGGACATCATCATCACTATTAACATTTGTCTTATTTCTGGATCATCCATTATGGATTATTCCAGTAAGGAACTCTGAATTTTGTGTGTTTGTAAGAGTTTGGTTTCTGTTTTCGTAATTTTGAAGGCAGGAGTCTTTTTCAGCATTTGTTCGTTATTCCAGTGGTAATGAGAAGTGTGTAGGTGCTGACTAATTGCAGTGCTTGCTGATTTTCCTCTGGCCGAATCCTTTTTCCATGGAGTCTCAGCAATCATCTTCTTTAGACAGAGCCCTTACCTTAAGTGCCCAGTAAATCCAGCGTGAGGACTTTAATTGCACTTGAAATTGTCACTCTGTCTTTCTTCTTGAGGAAAATGCTCTGATTACTCCAGCACTGCTTACAGGTCCTAATCAAACACTCCTTAGCAACTACTCCATGGTCTCTGCATTTCTCTGGGTACAGTGGATCTAGGAACAGGATGATGGGGAAGAGAAAAAAAGACAGAGTACTTCCCTATGTGTAATTGAAAAAAAAAAATCGTTTGTGTGTATGTTTCTGATTGTGAATGCCTGAACATGAGTGCGGGTTCCCAGGGCTCACCAGAGGCATCGGGTCCCCCTAGAGCTGCCTTTGTGGGTGCTATGTCCTGAACTTGGGTCCTTTGCAAGAGCAGTACCTGTTCTTAACCATGGTGCTGTACTCCAGCTCTTCCTCTTCCTCCTCTTAATTCACCTGACTTTGGCTGTGTTATTAAATGTCCAGAACAGCAAGAGGCACAGCATCTCGTCAGTAGCTGTGTTCCAGATGGTCTGGCCCTCCTCTCTTCTTTGTGAATTTATGGCTATCTGAAGAACCTCGGGTATCCACTACTAATTTGCCAATGTATAACTGTATCCTCAACCATAAGACAGCAGTGTGAAGCAGGAACCTGGAAGAATGCATTTCTCCAGGGAGCACTTACTCCTATAAATATGTAAATGTCTGTGCTTTCCTAATACACTGTCTGCTGCCCAAAATACAAGATGCAGAACTACCGATTCTATTCAACAACAATGGTTTTAATGTGTGTGAGTGTGTGTGTGTGTGTGTGTGTGTGTGTGTGTGTGTGTGTGTGTGTGTGTCTGCATGCCCAGAGAGGCCAGAGCAAGATAGCAGTAGGTCCCTGCTCTGTGCTTTGTCATCCTCTGCCTTATTCCATGGAGACAAGGTCTCTCACTGTAGTTGGAGTTTGCAGTGCATGTAGTCTAGGCTGGCTGGTTAAGATCCAGATGCCAGGATCTGCCTGTCTCTGTCCCCTGCAGCACTAGGGATACAGGTATGCAAAGCCATTTTATAATTGAATTAATTCATTCATTAATTTTCTGACACAGGGTCCTATTATATAACCCTGGCTGTTCTGGAACTCGTGTAGAGCAGGTTGTCTTAGAATTCACAGAAATGTGTCTGCCTCTACTTCTGGAGTCCTGGGAGTAAAGGTGTGGATCACCACATGCAGTGGTCAAGGCCTTCTGTCTTTGTTTTTAATGTGGACACTGGGGATTTGACCGGAGGTCCTCACGCTTGCACAGCTCTCTTACCCAAAGGAGCCGTCTCCCCTGCTCCCGTGTGCACGGTCCTGCATGAGCCTGGTTTATTGAACTTCCTCCCTTACGCCTTAGTTTTCTGCTCCTCAATTCCTGTTTAAGCAGACAGGTACTATGAAGCAGGTACTGCCACACCTCTGGGATCACTGGCTACCAGCTGCTCTGGTGACCTATCCTGTCTTGCTGACTGTAGTGTTCTATCAAGGGCTTCCCTTTTTATATCGCATTTTATAAATGAAATCTTTTCCACATTGACTTTCCCATTCAATTCTCTGATTTCCTTCCCGATTCTTCTTTAATGTTTCATGTAATATTGCGCCGTTAGCAAAATGATATAATTTGTATAATAGCATCAATTAAAATTTGTGGTTTGTATAATTTTTCTTCTTTCCAGCTATTATTTAAGAAAGATGGTCTATTTTCTTGACCTTGTTTAAATCTGAATAGTGTTACCCTTTGAGGCTGTGCTTCTACAAGCTTTTGTGGATAATTGTACCATTTCCTTATATCTCTTTTCCAGATTTTTTTTATATTAATATAAGATAATATTGGTAATAATTGTGTTTTCTACCATCAGACTTTGGTTACTGTTAGACATATCTAGGTAAAAATTGTTTCACATCTAAGCAACTCAAACTTTGGGAAACCAGGCCTTTAGAATACCTACAGATGGAGGCAGATACTCAGAGATAGACTTGTGTCTGATGTGTATCAGTAATTCCCTAAACTAGTGAAAACAGCTCTGTGTCAAGAAGTCCACAATTAGCTGTCACACATTTTTTCTGGGTATTTCACTCTGCCTGAATATTTACATATGAAAGTTTTGTAATCACACAGACCACCACCCACTTCTCACATACACACACTTTCAAAGAAAAGATTTTCACTGAAATCGTATCACCTTTGATCTTCAGCAACCTTCCTTCCTAAAGATGTTAAAAAAACAAACACGGCAAGCAATCCAGCCTCTTCCGAACACTAGCAAATTACACCTTTTATTAAGTGTTAGATAAATTTGAATTGCCCTGTGACTCCACTCAGCACTCTTAATGAAGAGGGAGTTGTGTATTTAGCTGTTAATTTCATCATTGTTCAAATATTATGGAGTCATAACATGAATTCCTTCCTGTGCCAGCCCTAGGAGAAAAAAACACATATCTTGATCCTCCACCTCCAAGATGGAGGCTCATTCTATCTTAGAAGCTACCCACCCTATATTTTATGCTTTTTAAATTTTGTTTTCTTCTCATTCTCAAGTCCTTCCTCTTAGACATTAAAATATCACCTGTTTTTTAGAGGCATTTCTAGCATTGAAGTGAATGTATTTAAGATAATTATTGAAATGCCTCCAATAAACTCGAGCACAAATGTCAGCTTTTCTTTTCTTTTCCAATTCATTTCTATAAAAGTAATATCCAAGCTATTTTTTCCCCCTTTACATAATGCTGTTACTTTCTTTGGCTGAAAATTGATGGGCAACTGATGAAACCACTCGGGCCTCCTGATGGGAACAGAGCATGTTGAAACTAGATCAGGGACAACCCCCTGGGTGGGAACACATGGAATTCAATTACAGTTGATTCCAGCCCCAATGTCCTGCGTGGTTAGAATTGGATGATAGCTCCACACTGGTACAGTGAGGGTTTGAGAATATAAAAAGAGGCCAGGCGACGCAGGACAGCTAAGCAAATCCCATCTCTACAGGTAGGAACCTCACTGTCCCAGAATGCCCTTTTTATGATTCATGAACACTGGCAGATGGATGACCTTCAACGTGAATTTCCTTTGAAACAAACAAACAGAAAACCACTTGCACCTCCTGTGCTTTTTTTCCAAGCCACGTGCTTTTTGGAATGGATGGATTGTGGGTGGGAAGTATGTTAAAGAGCAACGGCTGGCTCTAATGTGTTTTCGAGTGCTTCCTGTT